TCTCAACTTCTGAAATTGTTTTTAAAATTAAGCAATAAATCAGTCAAGTCTGCTCTGTTGCATGCTGGGTAAAAAGGAAGGGGCGAGAGCAACATCCGGGGACTTTGTCCGACAAAACTTTGCTAAAAGGTTGCATACAGAATAGGCAAATGATGGAGAAGTATGTAAAGGAAGTGGGGGGGGGGGGAGGAACACTGTTTTTTTAGCCTAAAGAAGCTTAAAGACAATTTTGTCTTCCTTCTGTAGCATCTTCCAAACTGAAGGTGGTGTGGTTGATAGCAGCCGCTATCTTCGTAGTACAGCAGGTCGCTGATCAGAAGGTCCGATATTTGGGTTTACAACTAAAGAAAATTCCCTAGATTGTTGACTTAATCGATTGATTTAAAAAGAAGAGAAAAAAACAATCTTCTTCAAATATTTTTTTAAACAATAGTTTGTTTTTGGGGGAAGCTTTATTTTTTTTTCTGCAGGCTAATGGGTTCCTCCCATTCTCCACAGGTTACCTGATCATGACGGACGACTGGTTCTCAGAGTACGTCTACGAGGTGGTGGTGGACAAGAAGTTCCTCTCCGATGATGTCATGCAAGTGATGCAACAGGAGCCCGTTGTACTTCCTGCTTGGGACCCAATGGGAGCGTTGGCATAAAAATCACAAATGCAGGTTTTAGCCCCACCCCCTGGTCTAATTGACTCCACCCTCTTCCTAAGCTGCTTTTAAGTCCAATGGTTTCCTCACGCCGCCTATAAAAGAGCTTGTTCTTATAGGAAAAATAAAAACTTTTCTTTTTTACTCAACTGCCTTTGTTTGTTGTTCTTACATTTTCTTCACCGTTAGCACGTCAAGGTTGTTAAATTAGCTAAAGTTTTTTGACGAATATCAGCCAAATAAATCTAATTTTGTTATTGCTTTAGATATAAATGTCCTTTCTCACAGTTAATAAAATAAACTCCTCCTGTGCTGCCGAACTGAACTCAAAGAAAGAATGAATGTTTGCAGCTTTCGGGGTCTTTACGTTCATCGACGCAGCGATTTAGACTTAAAAATGGAGTCAGGGTTACTTTGTTACTAAGGGAAAACTTCAACACCTCTTGTTGCTACATAATCTAAGTATAAAACAACAACGCAACAAAATGCTAAACACAACCTCCAGTTAGCTAATAGCATGCAGGTTTTTATCTTGTATGCAACCAGCTCAATCCAAGGAAGCGGCAATGCGTCCGCCGTCGCCATGGTAAATGCTGGCCATCAGGAAGGAGCTAGGAGCAGGATGCTTTCTAATGCTAAAGTGTTTTTTTTTCTTTTCTTTTTTTGGACAAAAGTAAAAATCCATCCTTTATTTTCCAAACAAATACAATTGAGCTAAAACAACCTGAACGCAAAAGTGAATCTTGATTCAATTCCAGCTTTTATTTTCAGTTTATTTATAAAGCGCCAATTCACAACACCTGTCATGTCAAGGCACTTTACCGTTCACCAGATCACCCAGTGAAATTGATTCAAAGTTTTCTATCTAAGGAAAACCAGTTGATTGCATCGACTTTTCCAGAACCTTCTGATGGATCTAAATCCGTCCAGTTATGATGACCCTTTTGAGGCGGCTCCTTATAGCTATTACCTCCACCAAGGAGGTTATGT